CATGAGGCTGAGGCAGGAGAATTGCTTGAACCCAGGAGGCGGAGGTTGCGGTGAGCCGAGATTGCGCCATTGCACTCCAGCCTGGGTAACAAGAGCGAAACTCCGTCTCAAAAAAAAAAAAAAAAAAAAAATTTGGGAAAATAGGCAGAGCATGGTGGTTTACACTTGTAATTCCCAGCACAGGGACTGTCTGGGGGACTAACCCTACCAGGCCAGGTGATGGTCAGAGGGTCGAGACTTACACCCTGCCCCGGATGACGCTGGTACAGTCCCAACCCAGGGTCTCAGGTCTGGGGACACACCCCTCCTTTAAGTGCTACCTGCCACTATTGGGAGTCTGTGCGAGATGTAACTCTCCATTCCTTGAAAAGGTAAGTGCATGGCCGGGCATGGTAGCTCACGCCTGTAATCCCAGAACTATGGGAGGCCGAGGTCAGGAGTTCAAGACCAGCCTGACCAACATGGTGAAACCCTGTCTCTACTAAAAACACAAAAATTAGCCGGGTATGGTGGTGCATGCCTGTAATCCCAGCTACTCAGGTGGCTGAGGCAGGAGAATCGCTTGAACTCAAAAGGCAGAAGTTGCAGTGAGCCGAGATTGCACCACTGCACTCCAGCCTGGGTGACAGAGCGAGACTCCATCTCACAAAAAAAAAAAAAAAAAAGAAAGAAATTCTCCCACCTCAGCCTCCCCTGCAAATTTTTAATGTTCAGTTTATTAAGCATTCCCATCTAGCAAGTACATTTCGCCAAATATTTAAACATTGTGTGCAACTCATAAATCAAACTATACATTAATGAACCAATTTCCTTAAGTGGTTACCTGCTGATTGCAAATTTAGACTCAAACTCTTTTTCTTGCCATTGTAGTAAAATATACATGATACTGATCATGTTAACCACTTGGAAGGTACAATTCAGTGACATTAAATGCATTCCCCGTGTGTACAACCAGCACCACTATCTACACCCCCCACTTTTCATCACTCCCGGCCCTTGAAACAGTCCGTCTGCAGTCCTCTCCCCCAGCCCCTGGGAGTCTCACTTCTACTTTCCGTCTCTAGGAATTGGCTGTTCCCCGTGGCGCCTGTAAATTCAATCACACAATATCTGTCCTCCTCCGTCTGCCTGACATGTGGCTTTTAAATTCTCATGCGTCTGTGAGCAGAACATGAAATTAACCAGCAAGGCTGGTGTCCCTGCATCTGGATCCCACCGCCCAAAGGCCTGCTGAACAGAGACCCCACTGACCTGAGCCTGGGTTCCCCCCTCCCTGCTCTGGACGGGGCTGGGACCTGGGGTCTGTTTCCCACAAGTGAGACAGTCTCTGGGCCAGTCCGGTCTCCTGCCGAGAAGCCCTCCAGCCCTGCTGAGGTCCCAGCCCACATTCCTGCCTTTTGGTTAATTGGACTTGATTAGGTTCCAGGGAGTTCTGGAAGGCCCCCTCAGTGATGGCAGAGACCCCTGATGTGCTCGGGAGGATTAGCTCAGCGACCCACTGACCCCGGGCAATTAGGAGCCTTGGCTGGGACTGTGAGCTCTCCCTAGGAGGACCCCATAATCATCCCGGGGTGCCCCTGCTGCGGACCCACGAGGGATTGGCTGTGCCTGGTGTGTCCTGGCGTCGAGCTGGTTCCCAGCACCAGGGACCCAGGCCAGCACTCCTTTATCCTTGTCCTCTGTGGTTCTTTTTCCTCCTCTCTCTGCTGATTTGGAAGGTTCTGATAACCTTACCTAATTACTTCTCTAATAACGACCTTAACTCCAAATACAATCACATGCTGAGGGGCTGTGTTACAACCTCCACATATGAATTTTGGGGAGACACAGCTCAACCGATACTCTTCCCCATTTACAGAGGAGATGATGGCAGCTCAGAGAGGGGAAGTCATTTACCCAGGTCACACAGCAAAAGGGAGTAGGAGAAATGTCAAACATTTACCAGGTGCCAGGCCAGATTTCAAAACTGTGTTTGTCTTACTTGTTCATTTTGCCAGTGTCCATTGTGCCAGACGCAAATTCAAATGAAATGCACTGATGGGGCCAGGCGTGGTGGCTCCCGCCTATTAATCCCAGCACTTTGGAAGGGCGAGGCAGGCAGATCACTTCAGGTCATGAGTTTGAGACCAGCCTGGCCAACATGGTGAAACCCCATCTCTACTAAAAATACAAAAATTAGCTGGGTGTGGTGGTACACACCTGTAGTCCCAGCTACTCAGGAGGCCAAGGCAGAATTGCTTGAACCTGGGAGGTGGGGGTTGCAGTGAGCCATCATGTCATTGCACTCCAAGCTGGGTGACAGAGTGAGATTCTGTCTCAAAAAAAGAAAAAAAAAAAGCACTATGGAAGGCTGGCTGAACCGAAGAGACTGCCTCAGGTCCCTCAATATTAAACGGCCCCAAACAAATCTGCTGCATTTGCCCCAGTTTGTAAAAATTTTAAAAGCTGGAAGGCAGACATTGCAACGTGAAACCCAATCTGGACTCACTGGGGACAACGAGGCAGATTTGTCAAGACAAAGAATTACACAAGGGGCTGGACGTGGTGGCTCATGCCTGTAATCCCAGCACTTGGGAAGGCTGAGGTAGGTGGATTGCTTGAGGTCAGGAGTTCAAGACCAGCCTGGCCAACATGGTGAAACCCCATCTCTACTAAAAATACAAAAATTAGCCAGGTGTGGTGGTGCATACTTGTAATCCCAAGTACTCAGGAGCCTGAGGCAGGAGAATTGCGTGAATCTGGGAGGCGGAGGTTACAGTAAGCCAAGATCACGCCCCTGGCACTCCAGCCTGGTCGACAGAACAAGACTCCGTCACCTCAAAAAAAAAAAAAAAAAAAAAAAGCCCACGGGGGCTCCATTTGTAGCAGGAGCGGCAGAAAACAAACCTCTCAAACACTGAACTGAGGAAGGAAGTGGCTTTTTATTCGGCCAGGAGCTGCAGGGGGCTAAAGCCTCATTCACCTGTGTTGCCCAGGCAAGGAATTCAAGACGAGCCTGGGCAACACAGGTGAATCTCGAGCTCCCCAAGAAGCAGCTTCTTTCCCTTTTTAGGGGCTTATGACTCTAAAGGGGGAGCAGAGGTGAAACCGTGGTATTACCCACTGGCCGGGCCGGGCAGCTCACCTCACAGTCTTTGGCTTTCATTGATTTGCTAATTTACATTTGGCACAGGCGGAAAGCAAAGAAGGGGAAGGGTTACTGGAGCCGAACAAAGGCAGTAAATTACTTGGTGGCAGATGCCACTTTAAGGGGGGGTTTGGACTGTGCAAACATGGAGGACATGACCTAGTTCCGGGCTCTGGTTGGTAGTGATAACATTCTTTGCAACTTTTTCAAGGCTTATAGATAGCTGGGAACTGAAAAGGGCGTTATCTTCCCAGTCCTTAGGCCTCATTATGGCCTGGTCGGTGGCGTCAGCAAGCTGCTTGACCATGGATTCTTTTATTTTTACTGTCCTTCTCATCTGGAGGGAGGAGGTGGAGGCCTGTGAGGAGAGACAGGGAGGGGGGTCTCCCCTCTCACTTTGACCTTCCCACCATGTGAGGAGGACACAGTGAGAAGTCAGCCAATTAGGAATCAGCGTCTCACCAAACCCCAGTTCTACCAGCACCTTGAACTTGGAACTTCCAGCCTCCGGAAGTGAGAAATCAACTTCTCTTTCTAAGTCATGTGGTCCATGGGATTTTGTTACAGCAGCCTGGATGGACTGAGACAATGGGATTGCGGTAGAAATTTGGATGAATACTGGGGCCAGGCCCCATGGCTCATGCCCGTAATCCCAGCACTTTGGGGGCCTGAGGTCGGAGCATCACTGGAGCCCAGGAACTCAAGGCTACCCTGGGCAACACAGGAAGAGTGAGACGCCCCTGCCACTCCAAAACAATTTTTAGCCACATATGGTGGTGCATGCCTGTGGTCCCAGCTACTCAGGAAGCTGAGGTAGGAGGATCACTTGAACTCAGGAGGTCGAGGCTGCAGTGAGCCGTGACTGCACTGCTGCACTCCAGCCCAGAAGACAGCAAGACCCTGTCTAAAAAGCAAACAAAGGCTGGAACCCAGCATTTGGTGAAGGTCTGGGACGCTAGGACCCAGCAGTCTCTCCATGCTGCCAGCGAGTCGGGGACCCAGCAACCTCCTGAAGCTGCGAGCAAGGCAGGGACCTGGCAGTTGCGTGAGGCTGCCTGGGACCCAGTTACCAGCTTACAAAAGCATCTCAGGCCCTAGACCCAGAGCCAGTCAGGGGTTAAAGTAAAAGCCCCCTACTTTGCCCCAGAAGCTGGGGTGGTGGGGAGGATGATGTGGATCGTTTTGGTTTTACCCACTGTCGAATGTTTGCAAACACAAACGAGTTCTAATAAAGAATTGCATTTCTAGCCTTTTTGTGCCCTCTAGTGCTGCTGGACCTGCGGGTCTCTGTTCCGCAGGATGGGGTTTGTTAAAGTTGTTAAGAATAAGGCCGACTTGGCCGGGTGCAGTGGCTCACGCCTGTAATCCAAGCACTTTGGAGGCCAAGGCAGGCGGATCACCTGAGGTCAGGAGTTCAAGACCAGCCTGACCAACATGGTGAAACCCTATCTTAAAAAAAAAAAAAAAAAAGAATAAGGCCTACTTTAAGAGATACCAAATGAAATTTAGAAGACAAGAGGGTAAAACTGATTACTATGCTCGGAAATGCCTGGTGATACAGGATAAAAATTAATACAACACACCCAAATACAGGGTGACAGTCTGTGTAACAGAGATATCATGTGTCAGATGCTTATGCCCGTATGGGGGGATATGATAGTCTGCGCAGCATATGCACACGGACTGTCAAAATACGGCACGAAGGCTGGCCTGACAAATGACGCTGCGGCGTACTGTCCTGGCTGCTGCTGGCCCGCAGGCTTCTCAACAGGTTTGGCACGGACAAGATCTATGAGGGCCAAGTGGAGGTGACTGGTGATTAACACAACGTGGAAAGCACTGATGGTCAGCCAGGTGCCTTTACCTGCTATGTGGATGCAGGCCTTGCCAGAACTACGAATGGCAATAAAGTTTTTGGCGCCCTGAAGGGAGCTGTGGATGGAGGCTTGTTATCCCTCACAGTACCGAACGATTCCCTGGGTAGGATTCTGAAAGCAAGCAATTTAACGCAGAAGCACACCATGGGCCAGAATGTTGCAGATGACACGCACTACTGAATGGCAGAAGATGAAGATGCTTACAAGAAACAGTTCTCTCAACACATAAAGAAGGGCGTAACTCCAGACATGATGGAGATGTATAAAAAGTTCATGCTCCTATACGAGAGAATCCAGTCTATGAAAAGAAGCCCAAGAAAGAAGCTAAGAGGAAGAGGTGGAACCGCCCCAAAATGTCCCTTGCTCAGAAGAAAGATCAGGTAGCTCAAAAGAAGGCAAGCTTCCTCAGAGCTCAGAAGCAGGCTGCTGAGAGCTAAACCAAACAATTTTCTATCAGGATTTTTCAGAAAAAGACAATAAACACACGAACAACAACAACAAAAACGATTTACATTTCCAAATAATTAATTAAAAAAATGAACTATGTCCACTCAAGGGCCAATTCGTAACTTGCTGTCCCACCACCACCCTCGTGACTGAAGGACATGAAATAATCGTGACAGTGGGATACTCAGCATGTCGTGGGGGTCCTAAATTTCCGGACCAGTCACTCAGAACTCGAGACAACACAGGTCTTCCAACCGGCCCCCTCATAGAAAACGAGGGCTTCAACTGCAAAATGGGTTTATTTTTTAAGAATCAAACAAGATTATCACATTAAAAAACGGCTCCAGTGCTAGGGTAGTGTATAAAGTGCTCAAGTGTCCTGAATGTCACGAGTCACCCCAAGTCCCTCCCTGAATGAGCGGCAGAGGACATGGCTTCTCCCTGGCTGCTTGAAGAAACGTCTTCCCTTGGGCTGATGAATGTGGCCTGAGTAGGGGCTGACGAGGCACCAGGGGTGTCGTCCTCAGACAGGGGCGTGTTCTTGGGTGCTCCCCGAGATTCTCCGCAGGTGGTGTCTTGATTGAAATACCACTGGCTAGGAGGCGCCAGGCCCTGACCCTCTTCCCAGACTTCCTGGTTTGCCAAGGCTGCCTCTTTGCTCGCCTCTGCGGAGAGTTCCAGCACCTGGGCGAAACTCCTGTCAAGGATCAGAGAACCAATAACGGCTTCCGCCCTCCGAGGTGAAGCGCACGTGTGTGGTGAACAAGGGGCTGCCACGTGCGGATTTTCACATGCCCCACGTGCTCAGTGGAAAAGGGCCAGCACACAAGACCTGTCTGAAAAGACTCCATCAGGGAAGCCCACAAGAACAGCACCAGGCACGAAAGGAAAGGCTCATTCGTCCAAGAAATGTTCAGGGAGCTCAGTGCTGTGCTGCCGCTGTGGCTGCAATATCCGTCCCCTCCCAAACTCCCATTAAAAATGAATCCCGGCCGGGCGCAGTGGCTCACACCTGTAATCCCAGCACTTTGGGAGGCCAAGGCGGGTGGATCACCTGAGGCTGGGAGTTCGAGACCAGCCTGACCAACACGGAGAAACCCCGTCTCTACTAAAAATGCAAAATATTAACCAGGCATGGCGGCACATGCCTGTAATCCCAGCTACCTGGGAGGCTGAATCAGGAGAATCACTTGAACCTGGGAGGCTCAGGTTGAGGTGAGCTGAGATCACGCCATTGCACTCCAGCCTGGGAAACAAGAGTGAAACTCCATTTCCAAATTAAAAAAAAAATTAATCCCCTGGCCGGGAGAGGTAGGATTAAAGTGCTGTAATCCCAGCACTTTGGGAGGCTGAGGCAGGCAGATGACTTGAGGCCAGGAGTTCAAGACCAGCCTGGGCAACATGGCGAAACCCCATTTCTACAAAAAATTTAGAAAAAAAATTAGCTGGGTGCAGTGGCGCACGCCTGTAGTCCTGGCTACTTGGGGGGGCTGGGGCAGGATGACTGCTTGAGCCCAGCAGGCAGAGGTTGCAGTGAGCCAAGACTGCGCCACTGCACTCCAGCCTAAGCAATGAAAACGAAGCCCTGTCTCAATAATAATAATAATAATAAATAATAATAATCCCCAACTGTGGCAGCAGCCAGAGGTGGGTCCTGAAAGAGGTGACTGGGTCATGAGGGTTCCGCCGTTCATGGCTCAGTAAGTCATCCCGGGAGTGACACTGTGGCTTTATGACCCTTAGGTGTCCTGAACGGATCCATGGCCACCCACAGGAGGAAGAAATCCCACAGAGGGTGGCGGCTGTTTTGCATGAGTCCTTGTCCAATATTTTAGGCAACTCAGGAAAAATTTAGCACTGTAAGGAAGAGACAAGATTCTCTTCTGAAGAGGTGGAGAAAAGCTCATGGCTAGAAATCTCCCGGGGGGGAGGGAAAAAAAAAAAAAAAAAAAAGGCGGGGGGGTCTTGACGGGTTTGCGGGGCTGGACCCATAAGGATATGTACTCTGTGTAAGCCACCGCACAGTCCTTTAAGATCTGGGCTATTTCTATCAATCAGAAGTTCAAGAAACATTCTCCTGGAACCTTACCCTGGAAGGCACTGAAAACACGAACACTGAAAACACGAACAGGGCTGTTCTGAGGGCGCCTGTGCTGCTGGGTTACTTTGAGGATCTGAAGGAGAGACGTGACATCCTTTCTCTTCCAGCTGCTTTGAGAACTTCCATGGAATTTGTTTTTCTTTCCTGAGACAGGGTCTCACTCCATTGCCCAGGCTGCAGTGCAGTGGCACGACCACAGCTCATTGCTACCTTGACCTCCCTGGGCTCAGATGATTCTCCCACCTCTGCCTCCTGAGTAGCTGGGACCACAGGCATGCACTACCAAGCCTGGCTAAATTGTGTACTTTTTAAATAAAGAGGCCAGACGCAGTGGCTCCTGCCTGTAATCCCAGCACTTTAGAGGGCTGAGGCGGGCAGATCACCTGAGGTCAGGAGTTTGAGACAAGCCTGACCAATATGATGAAACCCCGTCTCTACTAAAAATACAATTAGCCAGGCATGGTGGCGGGCGCCTGTAATCCCAGCTACTTGGGAGGCTGAGGCAGGAGAATCGCTTGAACCTGGGAGGTGGAGGTTGCAGTGAGCCGAGATCGTGACATTGCACGCCAGCCTGGCAACTCTGTCTCAAAATAAATAAATAATAGAGACAAGGTCTTACTACGTTGCCCAAGCTGGTCTTGAACTCCTGGCCTCAAGTGATCCTCCCGCCTCGGCCTCTCAAAGTGCTGGGATGACAGCCATGAGCCACCTCGGCCAGCCTTTCCCTGGATTTTTTCTGGGTGGGCTGTGAGCTCTTTTGCTCTCTTCGTCCCCCTGCTCTGCTTGAGTCTTACCCTGTGAGTCCAGGACCCGACTTGTAGCATATTTGATCCTCATTTCACCTAGAATCCCCATTAGCTCTAAAATGACTCAGGTGAGCTAGAAAAGGGAAATGAGCTTGGCATGGTGGCACACACCTGCAGGCCCAGCTACTGAAGAGGCTGAGGTGGGAGGATCACTTGAGCCCAGGAGTTCCAGACTGCAGTGAGCTGAGATCTGCCACTGCATTCCGGCTTGGGTAACAGAGTGAGACCCTGTCTCCAAAAAAAAGAAGAAAAAAAAAAAAGAAGAAAGAAAGAAAGAAAAAGGAAGGAAAGGCAAGGCGGGTGCTGCTGGATGATTCTGTCATCCACAATACGGATGACAATGACACCTGCTGGCCATTCTTGTGTCATACAACGGCTAGGAAGAGAGCAGCTCTCGGGACTGAACTTCCTCTGAACCCCAAGAGGAACTCGGCACCAACCCAAAAGTGCAGCCACCAACAGCCCTGAGCAAACAGAGTACCGCCTTTTTCTTAAAGCATTTTCTGAGATACCTTCGGAGCTCGAGGTCCTTTTTCACCGTCACGTCCTTGAGTTCGCTCAGTAAGTCCAGCATCCGCACATTTTCTTCCGACTTGCCAACGTCAAGTTCTCCCAGGAGACGCTGAGTGGTCGTCAGTTCACGCTGCAGGGCGTCTGGAGGGGACGAAGGATGGTGAGGGTTGGATTGCATGGTGCCCCAAGCACGGCGTGCTCAAGTGGAGAGGCCCACAGGCTGCTCCCGTGCGGGCTCGGTTATCGTGCTAGAACCGTGGAGAGCGCATGGAAAGAAGCGGAAGCCACGAAGACATTCAGGCTGGGTGCTTTCTCTGTCCCACGGTCTGCAGTTATGGGGCAGACATGTCCACCATCCAGGAGGGCATTGGAACAGAACTGAAATGTCACTGTGGTGTCCTCAACAGAAACCAATGCCAATGCGAAAAAGGCTGTGCTGTGCCAGGGAGAATGCCCGAGGCCTCCCAGCTAGACCATGAGCGACTTAAAAACACCAGTCCTTGTTCCCTGCGCCCCTGAGCAGAGGGAGGCCTGCAACTGCAGGGCCTGTGTCACCTGCACTGGGACAACACACTCTCTCCCCAATACGCATCACGTTGAGGCCAACTGTACTTGAGAGTCACATTTTGGGAGCCTTTTAAGCGCCTTATCAGCCAGCATCTTCTCCCTCCAGCAGTGGACTGAATTACGCCCTCTGCAATATGTACGTTCCACTCCTACCCTCCACTCCCAGCAACTGTGACCTTAACCGGAAACAGGGTCTTTGTGGACAGGGTGGCATTAAAATAAGGTCATTAGGGTGGGCCCTAATCCAGTGACTGATGTCCTCATCAGATGCAGGGAATTTTTCTTTTCTTTTTTGTTTTAAGACGGGGTTTCACTATGTTGGTCAGGCTGGTCTTGAACTCCTGATCTCAGGTGATCTGCCCACCTTGGCCTCCAAAGTGCATGGATTACAGGTGTGAGCCACCACCCCCAGCTCTGTGAGGAATTTTTCTTTTTTATTTTTGAGATAGAGTCTTGCTCTGTCATCCAGACTGGAGTGCCATGGCGCAATTCTCCTTCCTCAGCTTCCCAAGTGGCTGGGATTACAGGTGCACGCCGCTATGCTGGCTATTTTTTTGTATTTTTAGTAAGAGATGGGGTTTCACCATCTTGGCCAGGCTGGTCTTGAACTCCTGACCTCGTGATCCACCTGCCTGGCCTGATGTGGGAATTTTCAATAACAAGACAGCCAGGGAGGAGACCATGGGCAGAGAATGGAGGGACACAGCCACAAGCCAAGGAACGCCAAGGGCCACCAGCAGACACCAGCGGCCGGGGGAGACACAGTATGGGCTCACCCGGCCTGCCCTGGAGGGAACCAATCCCATCAACACCCTGATTTCAGACTTCTGGTCCCCTGAGCTTCGAGGGAATGTTTCTCTGGTTTCAAACCACCTATTCTGCGGTTGCTTGGTATGGCAGCGCCAGAAAACTCAGTCCCTAGGCTAGTTCCCAGCAACTACCTAAGGACCTGAGCAGAGACGGAGCCAGAGAGTGCAGATGTGGAGGTGACCATAGTCATCAAATCAGAAACCCAGCCAGGAACGGGGCTCACACGGATTCAGAATCCCAGTGCTTTGGGAGGCCAAGGTGGGAGATCACTTGAGCCCAGGAGTTCTGGATCAGTCTGGGCAACATGCCAGACCTCGTCTCTACAAAAAATAAACAAAAATCAGCCAGGTGCACCAGGCACTGTAGCCTGTAATCACAGCACTTTGGGAGGCCGCAGGGGGGCGGATCACCTGAGGTCAGGAGTTCGAGACTCGCCTGACCAACATGGAGAAACCCTGTCTCTACCAAAAATACAAAATTAGCTGGGTGTGGTGGCGCATGCCTGTAGTCCCAGCTACTCGGGAGGCTGAGGCAGGAGAATCGCTTGAACCCAGGAGGTGGAGGTTGCAGTGAGCCGAGATCATGCCACTGCTCTTGTTGCTCTCCTGGGCAACAAGAGCAAATTTGTCTCAAAAAAAAAAAAAAAAAAAAAATTAGCCAGGTGCAGTGGTGCATGCCTGAAGCACTGGGGAGGCCACTACTTAGGAAGCTGAGGTGGGAGGACCTGAGCAGATCCTGAGAAGTTCAAGGCTGCAGTGAGCTATGACTGCACCCCTGCACTCCCGCCTGGGTGATTGTGCAAAAGATTCCACCAAGAAAAGAACAATGGCAGGGCGTGGTGGCTCATGCCTGTAATTCTAGCCTTTTGGGAGGCCAAGGTGCGAGGACTGCTTGAACTCAGGAGTTCAAGTCCAGCCTTAGCAATATAATGAAACCGTGTCTATTAAAAAAAGAAAAAAAAAAAATTAGCCAGGTGTGGTGGTGCACACCTGCAGTCCTAGCTACTCAGGAGGCTGAGGTAGGAGGATCGCTTAAACCCTGAGAGGCAGAGGTTGCAGTGAGCTGAGACTGCACCACAGCACTCCGGCCTGGGCAAAGCAGTGAGATGCTGTCTCCAAAAAACGAAAGAAAAAGAACCAAACTCCAGGGCCGCCAAAAACTTGCTCTTTGGGAAGATACCTGTATCTTGACAGGTATCTTTAAGATGCAGCAGACTACCTTTCTTCACACTTGCTAAAGTCTTCAAGTTCAAGACGAGGTGGGAACCCTATGCCTAAAAGGGTCCTCACTCCTCTGCTGAGGGGGAAAGCTGCGGTGGGGTTGGTGGTCTTGTCACCTCTCAACCACTAAGGCACATTTGTTGGGCCCAGGACTCGAGACTGCAGGCCACCCTGGCAAAATGCCTTTCGGCAGATCACTGTGTATCCCACTGCCCAAGGTTCAAATCCCAGTGTGGTTACTTTCTCAGGGCGAGACCCTGGAGGAACCACAGCCTGGCCAGCCCTCTCTATCCTCTGCCTTAGATGGGGAAGAGGGCACTTGTGGCAATGACATCGGGTCCATGGGAAGTACCCACACACGCTCCTCACCCGCCTGCTGCACACACAGCTGGGACATCCCGTTGCCTACCTAAGAGCTGCTGCCCGTCTCCCTCCAGGTGGATGGACCTCACAGGGAGCTCATGCCTGGTGGTGTCCAGGGCTGTGGCGAACGTCCTGTATTGCTCCCTGAAGCGTGTGGCCACAGCCTCGAAGGGGCTGAGCATCTGGACCTGTAAGCAGAAGGGACGGGCGATGTAGAGGAAGATCCCGGAGTCCCATCCCTGGAAGTTTAACGGCTTGTGCAGGGTTAAGATACGGGCACGGTGGCTCACGCATGTAATCCCAGCACTTTGGGAGGCCGAGGCGGGCGGATTACCTGAGGTCAGAAGTTTGAGGTCTGCCTGGCCATCATAGTGAAACCCCGCCTCTACTAAAAATAGAGAAAATTAGTTGGGCGTGGTGGCAGGCACCCGTAATCCCAGCTACTCAGGAGGCTGAGGCAGAAAAATCACTTGAAGCCAGGAGGCAGAGGTTACAGTGCGCTGAGATTACGCCATTGCACTCCAGCCTGGGCAACAAGAGCAAAACTACGTCTCAAAAAAAAAAAAAAGGTACAGCGCTGTTCTTCACGACTACCCAGGGATCAGAGCTCAGGAAGTTTCCTAGGGTGAGGTGAGCTCTCCCCAAGAGAGGCCAGTGGATGGTAAGGTGGCCCAGGCCCCTCACTGGGTATGCGTGTCTGCCTTCCAGTGGTTCCAGGCTTGGACCCTCGGCTGGGCCCACTTGCTTTAGAGGACTGCGCCGCGACAGCTGCTTTCACAAGGCCATCCCCACCCCAAACACGCTGTCTGGGTCTTCATGGGGGTTTAAAATGATATAGGGTTGACCCTCGGGCAACGCGGGAGTTTGGGGTACCAAACCCTGTTCAGTCAAAAATCTGTATATAACTTTTGACTTCCCCCAAATTTACTGATAGCCACTGTTGAATGAAACCTTACTGATATCATTCAAAAATCATGTAATAGACTAGCATCTACACACACACACACACACACACACACACACACACACACGCACACTTTTTTGAGACAGAGTTTTGCTGGGTCTCCCAGGCTGGAGTGCGGTGTTGCAATCTCGGCTCACTACAACCTCCGCCTCCCAGGTTCCAGCAATTCTCATGCCTCAGTCTCCCTGAGTAGCTGGGGTTACAGGTCCGCACCACCACGCCTGGCTAATTTTTAAATAAAAATTTTTAGTAGAGACGGGGTTTCACCATATTGGCCAGGCTGGTCTCAAACTCCTGCCAAAGTCTTCAAGTTAGAGATTAGATGGGAACCCTATGCCTGAAGTGATCCGCCTGCCTCAGTCTCCCAAAGTGCTGGGATTACAAGTGTGACCCACTGCACATATATATTTTTTGTAGACAGGGTCTCAGTGTGTCGCCCAGGCTGGAGTGCTGTAGAGTGATCATAGCTCACTACAGCCTCCACACCTCCCAGGCTCAAGCAAACCTCTTGCCTCAGCTTCCAGAGTAGCTGGGACTATAGGCATTTACCATCACATTTTGTTAATTTTTAATTTTTATAGAGACTGGCCAGGCATGGTGACTCATGCCTATAATCCTAGACTTTGGGAGGCCAAGGCAGGTGGATCACTTGAGGTCAGGAGCTGGAGACCGGCCTGGCCAACATGGCAAAACCCTGTCTGTACTAAAAATAGAAAATTTAGTGGTGTGTGCCTGTACTCCCAGCTACTCAGGAAACTCAGGTATGAGAACTGCTTGAACTTGGGAGATGGAGGTTGCATTGAGCTGAGACTGTGCCACTGCACTACAGCCTGTGTGACAGAGGAAGACTCCACCCAAAAAAAAAAAAATTTTTGTAGAGACCGAGTGTCACTATGTTTTTTGCGCATGGGACAAATATGTATGCATTCATGACACGCCTAACTTTTTCTCAATTTTTTCAGTACTTCTAGGCTATGAGATTCATCTGTGAGTTTTTTCAAATTGTCAAAAATCTCCAAAACTTTTTCCAAATATTTACTGAAAAAAATCTGCACTTAAACGGAACCTCACAGTTCAAATTCATGTTGCTTAAGGGTCCACTGGGTTTGTCTCTTTTTCTTCCATTTTGAGCTCCCTAAGGTCAGAGACCCTGTACTCAGCCCAGGGCCTACCTGCAGGGGTGCTCATGTGACAATTTCGGATGTTAGGGGTTGAGCTGGATCCCGCCAAATTCATATCTGACATTCCAACTACCAATACTTGTAATGCACCCTTATTTGAAAATATGGATTTTATCAGGGTCATCAAGTTAACACGAGGTGATAGGGGGTTGTGTGGGGGATGCTAATCCAACACAACTGGTGTCCTGGGGGGAAACAGGGACCCAGACACACACAGAGGGAAGGACATGTGGACAGACACAAAGAAGACAACCATTCACAGGCCAAAGACTGGGCCAGGAGAGATTCTCCCTCATGGCCTTCAAACAGAGCCAACCACCACCACCTCAACCTTAGACTTTCAGCTTCCTGAACCACGAGGGAATGAATTCCAGTTGTTTTGCAAACCCAGGTTGTGGGACTCCGTTCCAACAACCACAGGAAACTCACCCACTGGGTAGGGGGCCCGCCCCTGCCGATCAGCCCTTTCTGGGTTCCAGGGCTTCGCTCCTGTCCTTCTTCTACGTGGACACCTCTGTCCCATAGCTGATCACATAGTGCTAGGACTGATGTGCTTCCCACCAGCACCCTGACCCTCCAGGGCAGGGCCAGAGCACGTCATCCTGTCGCTGCTCGTAATCATCAGGCCGGCAGGAAGTCTCTGCACAAATGTGTAGAAGGTGCACACTTCCCTTATTGGTTCACACTTTACTTTGTAACCTCATCCTCTAAAAGTGCCATAGACCCAACACCAGGACCAGGGAAAGTGTGGCATTACAAGCCCAACACAGGTTAGAAGCCAGTGCACAATGATACCCTAGCACGAATGCTACCCAAAACAGTGGAGATGGGACGGATCCACTGGGAACACTAACTGGTCACAGTGTCACTTACAACTGACCTGGGCATCCAGGACATCTGCCAGCTCCCGCTTCCTCTGAGAGAGGAGAAGCCTGCATTTCAGCTCATGGGCCTTTTTCTGTAGCTTCTCCTTCTCCTTACACATTATTAATAAATTCTTTTCTGCCCTTCTTTCAAACTCAGCAAGATTGTTCTCCATCTGTTAAATGTGAAAGAAAAGCTCAGGCAGGTGGGGACACCCTCCCCATGGTGAATGGAGCCCGCCCTTCCAACCATGGCATACGTGAACGAAGAAATGTTTTCACCTTTACAGCCAGTAGCGTCAGCAGTAGTGTCTGAGACTCCATCATTTCCATTGCTTCAGATAAATCCTTAAGAAAAGAAAAAGACCCTCTCAATTCCTGATGAAGTGGCATAAATGCAGCTCTTTCCTCAGCAGGGGCAGAACCCTGGCTTGTGTGGATTTTCTGTATTCAGTTTGATATCTGGTAGTTCTCTAGTGTAGTGGGCCTGCTGCTTCTATTTAGTTTTTTTTTTTTTTTTTTTTAATTTTTTTGAGACGGAGTTTCGCTCTTGTTACCCAGGCTGGAGTGCAATGGCGCGATCTCGGCTCACCGCAACCTCCGCATCCTGGGTTCAGGCAATTCTCCTGCCTCAGCCTCCTGAGTAGCTGGGATTACAGGCACGTGCCACCATGCCCAGCTAATTTTTTGTAGTTTTAGTAGAGACGGGGTTTCACCATGTTGACCAGGATGGCCTCGATCTCTTGACCTCGTGATCCACCCGCCTCGGCCTCCCAAAGTCTATTTTCTTTTATTTGGTTTTCTCCAGCGCTCTCAGATGGAAGAGGGAGGTCCATGACCCTCCTTCCCCAGCACCTGGCAGGAGAGACAGCGGCAGCTGGGCAGTCAAGGGCCAGCTGAGGATACCCACCAATTTGGTGCTGCACCAGGACCAGAATGCAGTCTCCCTACTTGCTGGTCACCCACCTACCAGTCTTGTCCTCACCCCAGTAAGACCACAGCCTAGCTCTCCTCCCACCAAGGGACAGGACCTGGCCTTGTGCCTTTCCTAGCACAGCGTGGGCACAGAGAAGTCCCCTGTCTCATTTGCTACATGATCCTATATTGGTATCCACTATTGAATATGTACTGGGGGAAATGTAAACTCTACAAATGATCTAAGAACATTTGTGGTCTTGATTTTTGTCCTAAAGGGGATGGGTGTCTTGTCTGTTCTTGGAGCCATGGGCACTCAGGTGGCACCTAGTTCAGAGTCGGATCTATATCAGATCTATACAACCTGTCCGTAGCTGCTCTTTCATTTCAGACACTTACTGGGCTCTTTTTCCGAGGGGCAGAAAACGATGTTGACTCAGGTTTCTTTGGTACTGTTTTTGCTAACTGTGGCGTCTTTCTGATGATGCTTTTGTCTAAGATAAAACACAGCATTTTTAATGGTGAGTAGTGCATACAGACAGTCCCTGGTTGCCATTTTTTTAAATAATGGATTTATTCGGATGTAACCCCATCGTAAATTGAGAACTACATGGAATTATAATGGTCCAGTCTAAAGTTATTCCACTTTGCAAGGGACAAAAGGCAAGTTTAATCCCCTTTACCAAGGTATTCAGTGTATTTCTGATGTCACATACATACATACATACATACATACATATGTATATATATATATATATATATATTTTTTTTTTTTTTTATATAAGATTTTCGTTCTGTCGTCGAGGCTGGAGTGCAGCAGTGTGCTTTCGGCTCACTGCAACCTCTGCCTCCCAGGTTCAAGTAATTCTCTGCCTCAGCCTCCCAAGTAGCTGGGATTACAGGCGCTTGCCACCACACCCGGCTAATTTTTGTATTTTTAGTAGAGATGTGGTTTCACCATGTTGGCCAGGCTGGTCTTGAACTCCTGACCTCATGATCCACCTGCCTTGGCCTCCCAAAGTGCTGGGATTACAGGCGTAAGCCACCATGCCCAGCCTGTACAATATTTTCAACTTATGATGGGTTTGTTGGATGTGACCCCATCATAGGCCAAGGAGTAACTGGACTTTCGAAGCCCACTGAAACCTACTGCAACCCCTACTGAGTGACAGAAGGGGTGAAACCAATGATTTACCATTAATGGCAGAGAGATCCAGGTCAGGCGGGGCTGTACCATGCCCTTCCAGCAACGTGGACTGCAGGTCCCCCTTTGCAACCCCACTGCTATCTGCTGTTAAGAAAAGAATACCCAAAAGTCAGCACAGTTGAAACATTCTCCATTTAAGCCAGGAAACACAGGCCGTGTTTCTGAACAATACAGTTGCTTCTAAAAACCCAATTTTGTCCTAGGTGGAAAGGCTAAAATAAAAAAAAAAACCTGTGGAAATTCCCAGCCATCAACTTGAATCTATTTTTAAAGTACCACTAGAAGAGAGAGACATTCTGTATAACCCAAGAGATGCAAACAGGCCTTTCTGCCAGTTTACAAGATGCTAAGAGTGGGATATGATGCCATACTCCGATTCCACCCTCTCCTCTTTTCCCATCTTCTTTTTGTTTTTTGAGACGAAGTTTCCTTCTTGTCACCCAGGCTGGAGTGCAATGGAGCAATCAACTCACTTCAACCTCTGCCTCCTGGGTTCAAGCAATTTCCTTGGCCTGAACTTCCCAAGTCACTGGGATTACAGGCGCCTGCCATCAACACCTGGCTAATTTTTGTATTACTATTTTTATTATTTTTTTTTGAGATGGAGTCTCACTCTGTTGCCAGGCTGGAGGGCAGTGGTGTAATCTCAGCTCACTGCAACCTCCACCTTCCGGGTTCAAGTGATTCTCCTGTTTCAGCCTCCCAAGTAGCTGGGATTACAGATGCGCACCACCACTCCCAGCTAATTTTAGTATTTTTAATAGAGAGGGAGTTCTGCAATTTTGGCCAGGCTGGTCTCGAACTCCTGACCTCAGGTGATCTGCCATCCTCGGCCTCTCAAAGTGCTGAAATTAAAGGCATGAGCCGCTGCACCTGGCCAATTTTTGTATTTTTAGTAGAGACTGGGTTTCAACATGTTGGCCAGGCTCTTCTCAAACTCCTGACCTCAGGTGATTCACCCGCCTCGGCCTCCCAAAGTGTTGGGATTACAGGCGTGAGACACCACACCCAGCTAGAGGTGGTAACTTCTTATTGCTATTGCTTTTTTTTTTTTTTGAGACGGAGTCTCACTCTGTTGCCAAGCTGGAGTGCAGTGGCATGATCTCGGCTCACTGCAACCTCTGCCTTCCGGGTTCAAGAGATTCTCCCACCTCAGCCTCCTGAGTAGCTGGAACTACAGGTGCATGCCACCACACCCGGCTACTTGTTACATTTTTAGTAGAGATAGCCTTTCACCATTTTGGCCAGGATGGTCTCGATCTCTTGACCTCGTAATCCACCCGCCTCAGCCTCCCAATGTGCTGGGATTACAGGTATGAGCCAACATGCCCAGCCTGCTATTAATTATTTTGCCCTGGAATATTTTATTGCCAGCATGCACAGCATCTGCACTAAGAAAATTTTCTTTTCTTTTTTTTTAATCTTTGGTCTCTGAATATCAGTAAGAAAATTAACTTTCTGGCTGGGCGCAGTGGCTCAAGCCTGTAATCCCAGCACTTTGGGAGGCCGAGGCGGGTGGGTCACGAGGTCAAGAGATCGAGACCATCCTGGTCAACATGGTGAAACCCCGTCTCTACTAAAAAAAAAAAATACAAAAAATTAGCTGGGCATGGTGGCGCGTGCCTGTAATCCCAGCTACTCAGGAGGCTGAGGCAGGAGAATTGCCTAAACCCAGGAGATGGAGGTTGCCGTGAGCCGAGATCGCACCATTGCACTCCAGCCTGGGTAACAAGAGCGAAACTCCGTCTCAAAAAAAAAAAAAGAAAATTAACTTTCTACAAAACCATACAATGGAACTCAAACAAGCAGTCCTTTGAAATCATTAGGGTGTGGTTTAAATTAAGGTTTCTGGCCAGGCGCAGTGGCTCACATCTGTAATCCCAGCACTTCAGGAGACCAAGGTGTGTGGATCACAAGGTCAGGAGTTTAAGACCACCCTGGCCAATATGGTGAAAGCCCGTCTCTACTAAAAATTATCTGGGCATGGTGGTGGGCACCTGTAGTCCCAGTTACTTGGGAGACTGAGGCAGGAGAATCACTTGAACCTGGGAGGCAGTGATTGCAGTAAGCCAAGATTGTGCCACTGCACTCCAGCCTGAGCGATAGAGCGAGACTCTTAAAAAAAAAAAAAAATTAAGGTTTCTTAGCCATGGCATTTCGAGTATGTGGGTGTGTGGGGCTGGATCCTCCTTGCTGTGGCGGCGTCCTGTGCATTGCAGGATGCTGAGGGGCCTCCCTGGCCTCCACCCACCAGATGACAGCAGAACCCCTTCCCCCAGACAGGAGAACCAAACACATCTCCAGACACTGCCAAAGTGTCCCTTGGGGGTCACGATCACCCTTGAGTGAGAACTGGTTTGAAGGTGTGGCAGGCCCGGTCTCTGGTCCCCTGGTCACACCAGCATTCCCAGGTTCATGCATGGCCTTCGACCCAATTAGATGGGGAAGACTAGCAGGCTGGCTCTACTGTGAGCTTCTCACCACGCCTGGGGAGCGGGTAGCAAGAACTCTAACATCTACACCAGGAGTGGCAAGTTGTAGCTCACAGGCCAAATCCAGCCCACTTCCTCTGCTTGTAAATAGCTTTATTGGCACACAGCTTTACCCGTTCCTCTATGTCTGGTCTGGGGTTGTTTTTATATTACACAAACAGCACAGTTGAGTCTTTATTTGTTGAGACGGAGTCTCGCTCTGTTGCCCAGGCTGGAACGCAGTAGCTTGATCTCTGCTCACTGCAACCTCCGCCTCCCAGGTTCAAGCTATTCGTCTGCCTCAGACCCCCAACCCTAAGTAGCTGGGATTACAGGCACGCGCCACCATGCCCAGCTGATTTATGTATTCTTAGTAGAGATGGGTTTTGCCATGCTGGCCAGGTTGGTCTGGAACTCCCGACCTCAGGATGAAGCCCTCACAGCCTCTCTAACGGTCCTGCTCTCAGAGCACCAGTGGGAAAACAGTCATGTAGATAAGAAACTGATGTCACCAAGGAGTACCACGATGGCAATGTGGCTTTTCTCTGGGGCCACACAGGGAAGAAATGGCCTCCCCTTTTCTTGCCGTCCCCACTCACCTCCCCACATTTCCCCATTCTCCAACTCTTTGCTCACTGCTTCTGATCTTTCCCAGAAAAGAAAGAGGGAAATTGAACTTATCACCCACGGAGACAAAATTTACTGCGCCGCTCATCACTGCCTGAGGCCCAGGGCTGTTTCGCACCTTTGCTTTTGTGGAGCAGGCTGGGTTTCCTTCCACCTTCAGACGTCTTCCCTCGGGTCTGTGACCCATCTCCTGCAGGAGCCTGTTATGGGAACACATGACACTCAGAGAACAAGATATGCCCCCTTCACAAGAAGGGGCCCTGATGCAGTCTGCACCGGGTTTTCTAACTGCTCTTCCTTAGAGGCAGGGGAGAGATTTAAAGAGGTTTGAAATTTTATCTCGTAGATACAGGAATAACACATTTTGTCAAAGTGTAGACGCTCACTTGCACAGAACACAGGAGACTACCAAAATGTTTGCTGGTGGCTATCTGACATGGAAAATTAAAGGTGACTGATTTTTTCCAGACACATTTCAGTATTTGCTAGTTTTCTAGAGAGAACATATAACTTTGGTCTTTAGGAAAAACAAAGTTTTTACACATATATTGTCAAACAATTTTTTTAAAGAAACACATGGAACACTGTCCTTATAATACCCAAAAGCAAAATGAAAACCTTATAAAGAGCAAGGGCCAGGTGGAATGGTTTCTCCCTGTGGTCCCAGCTACTTGGGAGGCTGAGTTGGGAGGATTGCTCGAGCCCAGGGGTTCAAGGCTGCAGTAAGCCATGATCGCACCACTGCACCTCAGCCTGGGAGACAGAGCAAGGCCAGAGCAAGGCCGCGACGATGCACAGACACCACTCCCATTCAATATGGCAGTGGAGGGCCTCGGATAAGAAATAAAAGGCAAACAAGTTGGAAAGGAAAACTCTGTTCTTGCAGACGTTAATTTTTCATGCAGAAAATCCCTAAACATCTTCAATACTGCTATTAAAATTAAAAAATAAGTTAACAGGAGTTTGCTTTCAATTTTGTGTGTGAACTTGACTGGATATTGGGTGTCCCAGAATGAACATTTTTTGGGTGTGTCTGTGAGGGTGTTTCATATTTATTTATTTTGAGATGGAATCTTGCTCTCTCTCCAGGCTGGAGTGTAGTGGCGCAATCTCAGCTCACTGCAACCTCTGCCTCCCAGGTTCAAGCGATTCTCCTGCCTCAGCCTCCAGAGTAAATGGGACTACAGGTGCATGCCACCATGCCCAGCTAATTTTTGTATTTTTAGTCGAGACAGGGTTTCACCATGTTGGCCAGGATGGTCTCAATTTCTCAACCTTGTGATCAACCTGCCTTGGCTTCCCAAAGTGCTTGGATTACAGGCGTGAGCCACTGAGCCACTGCGCCCAGCTGAGGGTGTTTACTAATGAGATCAGCATTTGAATGGGTGGATGTGTATGGGCACCATGCAATCCCTTGAGGGCCTGAATACAACAAAATGATGGAAGGAGGAGAAATTCACCCCTTTTGCTTCCTGCTTGCCTGGCTGAGCTGAGACATCTTACCCCATCTCCTCCTGCCCTCAAACTGGGATTTACACCTTTGACTCCCCTAGTCTCAAGCCTCCAGACAAATGCTGAACTAAAAACCACCAATCTTCCTTGCTCTCTGGCTTGCAGACAGTAGATCCTGGGATTTCTCATCCTCTATAATCACATGAGCCAATTCCTCATAAATAAACCTCATTTTATATATTCATATCGTTTTATAAGATCCTCTTATTGGTTCTGTTACTCTGGAGAACTCTAACACAGCAAAGGTGCAGGATGCAGGGTCAATATTCAAAAATTCACATTTCTAGCAATGAAGTAGCAATGAACAAGTTTGAAGATTGAAATTAAAAGAGAGTACCATGTACAACAGCACTAAACACCAAATGCTTAGGTAAGATCTACACTCTGGAAGCTACAAAAAATGCTGAAACAAATCCAGGAAGATCTAAATCAATGGAGAAGAATACCATGTTCATGGATTGAAAGACTCGATGTTATTAAGAAGGTATTCTCCCCAATTTATGGATTCAATGTAAACAAGATCAAGCAGGTATTTTGCTAGAAAAATGACAATTCTAAAATCCCTATGGAAAGCCAAAGGAACTAGAAGAGACTAAATAGTTTTGGAAAAGCATAGCAGAAGGCCTCACATTACCCGATTTGAAGACTTTGTACAAAGCTACAGTAACCTCAGCAGTGCAGAATTGGCATAAGAATGCACACATAGAACAATGGAAAAGAACAGAGCACAGACACGACCCACACATATATGGTCAACTGGTATTTGACAGAGGTGATGAGACAATACAACAGGAGAAAGGAAAATCATTTCAGTAAATGGGATTGCAACAACTGAACACCCTGCATGAAAAAATGAACTTTGATTTACACATCACATCATACACAAAACCTAACTCACAGACTTAAAACTGAAACCTAAACTACAAAACACCTACAGGGAAAACAGGAAAAAAATCTGTGATCTTGGATTAGGTGGAGGTATCTTGGATAAGACTCCAAAAGCACAATCCATAAATGCAGAAAGTGATCAACTGGGCTTCCTCAAACCCGACACCTTCTGCCTCTTAAATTAAAACACTCAACAGCATGAAAAGACCAGCCAGACTGGAAGAAAACATTTGCAAAGAACCACAAAGAGCTGGTGTGCAGAATACGGAAAGCACCCTCAAAACTCAGTAATAAGACAACAAATAACCAACAGCCACATCAGCAAAGATACGGGAATGGCAAATAAGCACCTGAAAAGATGTCTGATATCATCGGCTATTATGAAAATGCAAATGAAAACCACAATGAGATACCATTTCACACCCACAAGACTGGCTAGAATGTGAAAGTAACAACTTGCACTGTCATCTATGCGCCTAGTGGGAACATAAACATGGTACAGCTACTGTGGAAAACAGGTAGTTTCTTGTTACCATTATAAATATACAGATAAGTTTTCATCTACGACTCATGGCTTGGAACTCCTATAAGCCCTTGTTACAGTAAGCAGGTTCTCTCTGACCTCCTCCCACACTCCTTTTACCTGTCAGAGAGGGTTCCTGCCTCACACCCCAGAGGAAAAAATGCTACAGGGGCCAAGAAGAACCTGAACAGACAGGTCTTGCTGGGTTTGGAGCATACCCTTTTTGACCAATCACATTTCCACAGGGTTGTCCATGCTTCAATCACACCTAAGTCATGAAGATTCCATAAAAACCCAAAAGGACAGCTTGGAGAGATGTCAGACAGCTGAACATATGGAGATTCCTGGAGGGTAGTATTGCAGAACAGGCCGCGGAAGCTCTCTGCCCCTTCCCCCACATCTCACCCTACACATCTCTTATCCTTTGTTTTGTTTTTGAGATGGAGTCTCGCTCTGTGGCTCAGGCTGGAGTGCAGTGGCACAATCTCGGCTCACCACAACCTCCACCTCCCAGGTTCAAGCAATTCTTCTGCCTCAGCCTCCCAAGTAGCTGGGATTACAGACATGCGCCAACATACCCAGCTAATTTTGTATTTTTAGTAGAGACAGGGTTTCTCCACGTTGGTCATGCTAGTCTTGAACTCCCGACATCAGGCAATCTGCCCGCCTAGGCCTCCCAAAGTGCTGGGATTACAGGCGTGAGCCACCACGCCCGGCCTGTTTTGTTTTGAAAAGACAGGATCTTGCTGTTACTCAGGATAGAGTGCAGTGGTGTGATCACAGCTCACTGCAGACTCAACCTCCTGGGCTCAATTGATCTTCCTGCCTCAGCCTCCCGAGTAGCTGGGATTATAAGCACCCACCACTGTACCCAGCTATTTTTATTTTTTTTATAGAGATAGAGTCTTGCTATGTTGCCCAGACTGTTCTGAAACTCTTAGGCTCAAGCAAACCTCCCACCTTGACCTTCCAAAAGTGCTGGGATTACAGGCCTGAGCCATCATGCCCAGCCACTTGACCAGTGAAAAAAAGATTTTTTTTTAGAGACAGGGTCTCATTGAGTTGCCCATGCTAGTCTGGAACTCCCCGCCTCATGCAATCCTCCCATCTCAACCTCCCAAACGGCTGGGATTTCAGACATGAATCCCAGCTGAGCCACACTCTGCTCCATCTGTATCCTTTGTAATATCCTTTATAATAAACTGGTAAACCTAAGTGTTTCCTCAAGTTCTGTGAGTCACTCCTGCAAATTAAATGAACCCAAAGAGGGGGTTATGGGAACCCCCACTTGAAGTTGAACTTGGTTGGTCAAAAGTTCTAGAGGCAGAAGGGGCAGTCTTGAGGACTGAGCTCTCGCCCTATGGGATCTGATGCTATTTCCAAGTAGGGTGTGTCAGAATTGAATTGGAAGTTGCCCAGCTGGTACCTGCTGCTTGCTGGAGGGGAAACCCTCCCTCACAACGGTCACAGAAGTCCTATGTTGATTGTGGTTGAGTGGGAGATCAGGAAACACAGTTTGAGTTTTTCTACGAGCCGGCAATCCTCCTCTTGGGAGAAATAAAAACAAGTCTACACAGAAAAACACACAAGAATGTTTAGGGAGGCTTTATTTGTGATCACCACGACAGGAAACCAACTGACTGCCTGTCAATCAGTGAACAGATGAACACACTGCAGTCCATCCACTTGATGGAATATTATTCAGCCATAAGGAACCAGGCTGGGCATGGCAGTTCCCGCCTGTAATCCTAGCATTTTTGGGAGGCCAAGGCAGGTGGATCACTTGATGTCATGAGTTTGAGACCAGCCTGGTCAACATGGTGAAACTCCCATCCCTACTAAAAACACAAAAATTAGGCCAGGCGCAGTGGCTCACGCCTGTAATCCTAGCACTTTGGGAGGCTGAGGCGGGTGGATCACTTGAGGTCAGGAGTTCGAGACCAGCTTAGCCAATACAGTGAAATCCCCGTCTCTACTAAAAATACAAAAATTAGCAGGGCATGGTGGCGGGTGCCTGTAGTCCTAGCTACTAGGGAGGATGAGACAGGAGAATCGCTTGAACCCAGGACGTGGAGGTTTCGGTGAGCTGAGATTGCACCACTACACTCTAGCCTGGGCAACAGAGCAAGACTCCGTCTCAAAAAATAAATAAAATAAAAATAAATAAATACAAAAATTAGCCAGGTGTGGTGGCACACACCTGTAGTCCCAGCTACTTGGGAGGCTGAGGCAGGAGAATCGCTTGAACCAGAGGCGGAGGTTGCAGCGAGCCAAGATCGCACCACTGCACTCCAGCCTAGGTAACAGAGCGAAAGACTCCATCTCAAAAAACAAAAACAAAAACAAAAAAAGAGGAGGAACCACTTACAGATTACCTTGAAAGGCACTCTGCTAAGGGTTAGGAGCCATAGACAAGGGCTACAAACTGTGACACCACAGATACGACCTTCTAGAAAAGGCAAAACTGCAGATTCAGAAAGCCGATCTGTGGTTGCCTGGGGGTGAGAGAGGGGCTTGTCCTATCAGAGGAAAGGGGGATTTAGGGATGACCCATTCTGTAGCTTGATTGCAGAGGCTGTTCCATGACCGTCTACATCTGTCAAAGCAGGCAGGACCCTATGCTGAAAAGGGGGATACTGACTCCATGTAAACGACGCCTTGATTTTCAAGATGGGGGAAAAAACAGTAAAGATGGAAAGGGCTAAAGCGTTACAGCACACAGACACATGGGGGCGCTGTCATCAAGTCTTCACAACAACAGAAGACAGTGACCCTTTGTTGAAAACTGCTCCAAGAAGGGTATCCGTCTGTGCAAAGGTATTCTCTTTTCTCAGGCCGAATCTTAAGTCACAGGGTCAAGCACTGTGACTTAAGGTTTATGACTCCATTTTATCATAAACCAAGATTTGGAAAGCAGAGGGAGGAATCCAACCTTGACTCACTGAAAGAAAATACACAATTGTATCATCTACTGATTGTTCCCAGGAACCCTCACACAAAGCACGTTCTCAAGTGGGTAAATATCTTTCATGCCATTACTTTCAATGTTTTCATATTTCACGGTGTGCCTATATGATAGTTCACTAAACTCTTCCTCTAATTCAGGGTGATTGAAGTATGTCATTTTCCCCGTAGTTTTTCTCTAAAAACCCATAGCTGATTTTTAAATTTTACTATTTTTTTGAGATAGAAGACAGGGTCTTGCCCTGTTGCCCAGGCTGGAGTGCAGTGGTATGATCTCGGCTCAATGCAAACTCCACCTCCCAGGTTCAAGTGATTCCCTGGCTCAGTCTCCTGAGTAGCTGGGATTACAGGCACCCACCACCACACCCGGCTCACTTTTGTATTTTTGGTAGAGACAGGGTTTCGCCACGTTGGCCAGGCTGGTCTCAAACTTCTGACCTCAGGTGATCTGCCTGCCTAAGCAGCTTTATTTTGTGAGATGGAGTGTCGCCCAGGCTGCAGTGCAGTGTCGCAATCTCGGCTCACCTGAACCTCTGCTTCCCAGGTTCAAGCAATTCTCCTGCCTCAGCCTCCCGAGTAGCTGGGATTACAAGCACTCGCCACCATGCCCGGCTAATTTTTGTATTTTTAGTGGAGACAGGGTTTCACCAGGTTGGTCAGGCTGTCTCGAACTCCTGACCTTGTGTTCCACCCACCTGGGCCTCCCAAAGGCTGGGATTACAGAAGTGAGCCGCCGCTCCTGGCAAGTAGCTGTTTTTTTTAAATACCAGCCAGACACAAGAACTGTGCGCTGGGCACTGGATAATACAGCTTCAGAATCTAGAAAGTGAATTAACTGGGTTGAAAGGCAAGAACAGGCTGGGCGCGAGGGCTCACGCTTATAATCCCAACACGTTGGGAAGCCAAGGCGGGAGGATCGCTTGAGCTCAGGAGCTCAAGAACAGGCTGGGTAACTTAGGGAGACCCGGTCTCCACAAAAACTTTTAGAAATTAGCTGGTGTGGCAGCACACGCCTTTGGTGCCAGCTACTCAGAAGGCTCAGGTGGGAAGACGGCTTCAGCCTGGGAGGCTGAGGCTGCAGTGAGCCATGATCATGCCACTCCATTCTGGCCTGGGTGAGAGAGAGAGAGACCTTGTCTCAAAAACAGAAAGAGAATAAGGTAAGAACGGCATTATGTTTCAGTGGAGATCACAGCTTTGTAAAAGAGATGCGTACAGCCATGAGCCGCCAATGACAGACTCACAACTGGCGGCATGAGGGGCTGACGATCTCAAAAGCACCTGGGTGAAGACCCCAAAATGCTTCCTTCCGGACCGGGTTGTGAGCACCTCCCGTGACTAGTTTCCGAATTCCGGTTACTCAGAGCCATGCTCAGAACGGCCGCACACCGAAGCCGGGCGCTGTCTCACCTTTTGGGCTGTCTTCTTCTCGTACTGCAGGTATCGGGACTCAACCACTCTTCCACCTGTGGGGATACAAAGGACTCAAAACCACACACACCCAGACCCCACGCCCCAGAGAGCCAATGCCGGGGCCCTTCCCACTCAGTGACCGAACAGGGGGAGTCATCACTCCTCCTGCTCCCCCTGACCACGTCCTTTGCCAGCCTGGAGCATGCATGGGACACCTACTGTATGCAAGTCCCAAGGCAGGTGTGGAGTCCCAGACTTCCTGAGGAGCTAAGATCAAGGAACATGCCCCAAGGTCAAAGCCGCACATGTACTCAGGCAAGGGGGAGGGCAAGAAGAAAGAACTTTTGCTGACGGCCTCCAGGTGGTTTACGCCTTCCTCCCAGCTCGGTCCCCTCACTGTGACCCCAACAGCTCCTTCCCCCTCTGCATGCGTCTAGGACTCACTCCTGGTACCATCTTTTACTACCCCCGCCCCTTACTCAATTTGGGACCCTCTGCCCTGAGACACGACCAACACCTGAGCCCTCTTCAGACAGAGCCAAATCCCTGGTGACAGCCCGACCCCAGATCCCCTTCCAGGACTACTCCTAGGAGGGTCTGTGGATGGAACAAATGCCACCTGTCACCCCAGCTTCTGGGGTTAGGGGTCTGGACTGGATCCAGTTGGTCCCGTTCTGTCCCCCAGCCCTCTCCTGGACCCTCCCTCAAACCTGTTCCTCCCACCTCCTCCACCTGGCCGCACCCTCAGTCTCAGCCAGTGACCCCAGGAGACCCTCCCACCACCACATCCAGCCACCTCCAGTCCTAAGGGCTACATCCCCTGGTCCCGTGAATGGACCTCTGTGATCCCAGATAAACTGCCCTCCATTCTGGGTGCTAAAGCCCAGCCCTTACTTCGTAAAGGAAACACCCGCAACTCCCACCTCCCTGCCTGAGTCCCCACGGCTCCTCTCCCCACCAGACGCTGCAGGTCGTTCTTCCCCCACCTGCACCCTGTGCCTCCCCGCATTTCTCCATCCCCTCAACAGCAAACAGCACAGAGTTCTTTATCACCAGCTCCTCTCCCTCTCCTTGCTTCTTCCCTTGAATCCCTCCTCCAGCAATCCAGCTTGCAGACACACCGCTGCACCAGAACTTGACACCTTTGGACAGGACCACCGCCATGTCCCTTGCTCCTGAGCCCACCAGCCCATTCTCAGTCTGGTCATCTGAGCCACCCGCAGCTCTAGGCACTATTGTGGCTCACTCCCTCCTGCGCGAAACCTTCCATCGGCCCCCAGCTGCCCCCCGGGGCCGAGGCAGACTGGCCTGCTGGGTCCCTGGGCTCAGGAAGCCTGAGTGCCCCTGGGAACCTTCGGGGCCTTGTGCCACCAGCAACTTGCCTCTTGTCACCCTGTCACCCCTCACTTGCCCTATTCAGCCGATCTGCTCCGTGGCGCCCCTTGCTGTGCCTTCCCCCGCAGGCACCTCCCTGTCTCAAGGCCGTGCTCAGCTCAGACCCCAGCATGCCTGCCCCGTCTGCCATTCCGTCACAGCATCTGTCATCATCTCGCACACCCCGAAGCCTCCTGAAGGTTCTCACGCACTGCCCATCTCCTCCCTAGAGCCCCCAGGGGCCTGGGATTTTTGTCTCCTTCGCTTGCTGCTACGTTCCACCACCTGCCATGGGGTAGGCACCCAGGACTAGGTCAAATGAATATTCTGCAGCATATTGGTGCCGTAGAGCTCAGAGGCTTGCCTTTGTACTGAAGAGACCACAGAGAGCGACCTGCTCAATGTCACACAGCTTGAGAGTTCAGCCAAGTGAGACTGTGACTTCGCCCATATCTTTGTGCTAGCTGATTCTTCCGTTGGGGATTGGGGGTGCAGCTGCTACCCTGAGAGGAAAGGAAGTGCCCTCACACTGAACAAGGATCCTGCAGTCAGCCAAGGGGCTGGGCTGTCAATCTGGGTGGCCCCAGGGCGGAATGTGCCAGGCCTGCAGAGCGAGCATGGGTGCAGATGGCTGCGCAGCAGATGAGGACAATCGGGGGGCCGCTCTCACGGTGCAGTTATGTAAGGACTGAGGCAGGACCAGGCAGGGTCCCAGGGACAGAACCAAGCCACACAAAGAGTCTGCCCCCGGATGGTGATCCAACAGCCAACGTAAAGGACACCCCCAGTTCCCAGCAGAGAGACCGTCCTGCCCGGGTCTTTCTAACTCCATCAGCGAAGAGTTTTTCTGAACAAGGAGGATCTCAGGCTTGGGCTGCCTCGGACGGTGGGGGAAGAAAAGCACTTTCAAGTTTCCAGGAAACCTGAACACAACTGTTTGTTTTCACAGGCTCATGCCTGTAATCCCAGAACTCTGGGAGGCTGAGGGGACCGATCACTTGAGGTCAAGAGTTTGAGACCGGCCTGGCCAACATGGCGCAACCCCGTCTCTACTAAAAATACAAAACTGAGCCAGGGTGGTGGCACACTCCTGTAATCCTAGCTATTCGCTTGAAGCCAGGAGGCGGAGGCTGCAGCGAGCAGAGACTGCACCACTGCACTCCTGCCTGGATGACAGAGTGAAACTCTATCTCAAAAGAAAAATACACAAACAAACAAATAAATAAAAATTTTCCACAGAAGCAATGTTATAAAGGAGGATACAATTCTTGTCCAAAAACAAGGTAGCTCATAAATATGACACGTGTCACATGTGAGATTAACATGCAATGTTTAGAACTTGAGAATAGCTGGGCACGGTGGCTCACGCCTGTAACCCCAGCACTTTGGGAGGCCAAGGTGGGCAGATCACCTGAGGTTAGGAGTTCAAAACCAGCCTGACCAACATGGTGAAGACTTGTCTCTACTAAAAATATAAAATTAGCCAGGCATGGTGGCAGGCGCCTATAATCACAGCTATTCGGGAGGCTGAGGCAGGAGAATCACTTGAACCCGGGAGGCAGAGGTTTTGGTGAGATCGTGCCATTGCACTATAGCCTGGGCAACAAGAGCGAAGCTTTGTCTCAAGAAAAAAAAAATGAACTTGGGAATAAGTGGTCAGGAAATGAAAAGAACTCACGCAGCGGTACTGTAACTTAGCCTCCCTTGGAACTAAAACCCTGCTCTAAGCTCTACTGAATTGAGCCCTGCGACACTGCACACACTGCGAAAATACTGCATTGTATCACCCTTGGTCTCCAACGATGGACTCTAGAATCTATCATGTAAGCTGACCACTTCCTCTTTTTGTGTTTTGAGACAGAGTCTCACTCTGTCGCCCAGGCTGGAGTGCAACGGTGCAATCTTGGCTCATATGAGAGTCAATGACAGGGGTGGCTGTTAACATTGACCCCAGGCCAGGTACAGTGACTCATGCCTGTAATCCCAGCATTTTGGGAGGCCGAGACAGGTGGGTCACTTGAAGTCAGGAGTTTGAGACCAAACTGGCCAACATGGAGAAACCCTGTCTCTACTAAAAATACAAAAATTAGCCAGGCATGGTGGTGGGCACCTGTAATCCCAGCTACTCAGGAGGCTGAGGCAAGAATTGCTTGAACCCAGGAGGCAGAGGTTGCAGTGAGCCGACATTGCGCCACTGCATTCCAGCCTAGGTGACAGAGTAAAACTCTATCTCAAAAAAAAAACAAAAAAACCAGTGACCCCAGACCAACAGGTGGAAATCAGACATACAGGTACCCCTCGTGAGACTGACACATTCACGCAGTGGGAATTGACAGTTTGATTTCAGGCCAGGAGTAGTGGCTCACAATTGTAATCCCAACACTTTGGGAGGCAGAGGCAAGAGGATCACTTGAGGTCAGGAGTTTGAGACCTGCCTGGGCAACATAGCAAGACCCTTTCTCAAAAAAATTAAAAAATTTAAAAAAAGGAGAGTATGATTTTAGATAATGATCTCTACAGTCTCCATACCCATGCTTCTAGGGGACTCGTCTCGGATACAGCCCACTACTCCCATGTCCGCAAGGGAAACCACTGCTCAAAATGACCACCACCATTCCTGACACATCCCTCACCACAGGGCTGGGACAGCCAGATCTGGAATCCCCAGAAGCATGACTACAAGGAAGTAAAGCCATAGCCCCCCTTTTCTGGCCTGTTTTTTCTTCCTCCAAAAGCACCTCATGAAAGAAGAAAACCATGTTCCTTAAAGAGACCCTGACACTGCTCACCTTGAACTCTTTTCTCCTTCTTCTTGGCGCTGCCAGGATTGGTGGGGCCAGTCACAGGCTTCCTGCAAGAGAAGAGAGACAGGTCTTGTTCATCTCACTGCCCAAGCAGCACAGGAAAGCCAGCAAGGTGCCTCTGCTAGTTGAAGCTCAGACAACCCAGTCCCAGGGCTGCCCGAGGACCATCTCAGTGAGGCTGGGCCACCTCAACAGGAAGAGGGACACAAGGAGCAGCCAGCCCCGGTCACCGGGGCGACAAGGCGTAGGTGAATGCCTGAACTGAGAAAGGAGGAGGGAGACGAGAGCTCCGTGGAAGAGACTGCAGAAGATCTCAAATTAGCCCTGTGTTCATTCATTCACCAGACATTGATGCACCTACTGTATACCAGCAGGGACACAGCAGTGAACAAAACACGGAGCTCCTTCCCAGAAAGGGAAGATCAGCATCTTGACAGGCAGGTCTGAGGAGTGGTCCCAGCAGGTACAGGGATGGGGGGGACAGGTATGACAAGGCACAGTAAGCTCAGACACGCGACAGAGGACATCCTAAGACGAGGGTTCAACAAGGGCCTGGGTACTGAGGCGGGAGGGATTGATGGAGATACAGGAATTGCTCAGTCCTGTGGTTTAGTTCCCGAAGATAAACGCGGACAGGACAGTTGGAGAGAACATAGAGCTAGGCCAGTCTGGGGGAGGCCGAATTCTGAGACTTACAGACAGCGACATTTGAATTCTCTACAGTGTTCGCATAACACAAAAAATTCTTGACATTTTCTTTAAACAACCATTTAAAAATATACAAGCCAATCGCTCCAGCACAGTGGCTCACACCTGTAATCCCAGCACCTTGGGACGCCGAGGCGGGCGGATCACTAGAGGCCAGGCAATCGAGACCGGCCCTGGCCAACCTGGCAAAACCCTGTCTCTACTAAAAATGCCGAAATTAGACGAGTGTGGTGGCGTGTGCCTGTAATTCCAGCTATATGGGGGGACTGAGGCACGAGAATCACTTGAACCCAGGAGGTGGAGGCTGCAATGAGCTGAGATCACACCACTGCACTCCAGCCTGGGTGATCGAGTGAGACTGTCTCAAAAAAAGGGAAAAAAAGTGTAAGCTGTTCTTAGCTACCAGCCATACAAAAAAGGGGGGTACTCTGGCTTCACCTGTAGCCTGAAGATAGTCCAGCCCCGCTATGGACAACAGGAGAATGGGGAGGGGTTAGATACAGGAGATGACAATATCAATGGTGTTTCATGTACACCACCGGCAGCTGGGAGGAAGACAGGCTACAAAGTTCTAGAAGGACAAGGACTAGTCTGCCATTGCTCCACACTTGGGCTGCAAAATACCAGCTCATATTCAATACCAGTGTGCTCACAGGATCTTTTTCACGAGTGCATGGAGAAGGAGTGTGAGCAAGTGAGCTGCCTGGTGTCTCTTCCTGGTTTTAAACATTATTCTATTTTATTGAGACAGGATCTTGCTCTGTCACCCAGACTGAGGGCAGTAGCACGATCTCAGCTCACTGCAACCTCTGCCTCCCGAGCTCCAATCATCTTCCCACCTCAGCCTCCTGAGTAGCTGGGACTACAGGCGCACATCACCACGCCTGCCTGATTTTTTTTTTTTATGCTTTTAGTAGAGACAAGATTTTACCATGTTGCCCAGGCTGGTCTCGAACTTCTGGGCTCAAGCAACCCACTCACTTCGGTCTCCCAAAGTGCTGGGAATACAAGCACGAGCCACTGTGCCCTGTTTAGAGAGCGTAACTTTATTTCCCATACTTCTGGAGGTCAAAAAGTCTGAGATCAAGATGCTGGCAAGGTAGGTTTCATGCTCTCGGCTTGCAGGCGGCCGCCATCTCCCTGTGTGCTCACAGGAGTCTGGTGTCTCTTCCTACAAGGACCCTAACCCTATCAGATCTGAAGACACTACTGATAGTCACACAGCGGGTGCTATCAGCAGAGTTAAGTGGAGGCCAGGGGTGCCGCTCAATACCCTACAATGAAACGGACAGGACGGTCCTCACCCCAGAGAAGGATTCAGCCCCAGAAGTCAATAGTGCCAAGGTGAAGGGATGACTGGAAGTACAGGATGGAAGGCAGAGAATACAGATGGTGCTGTGAATTCCTGTCCAAAAAAAAAAAAACCTGAATGTTATTCAGCCCTAAAAAGGAAGAATAAAGTCTGGATAGACTCCAATAAAGACGAACCTTGGGTGGGGTGTGGTGGCTCACACCTGTAATCCCAGCACTTTGGGAGGGTGAAGCAGGCAGATCGTAAGGGCAGGAGTTCAAGACCAGCCTGGCCAATATGGCGAAACCCCGTCTCTACTAAAAATATAAAAATTAGCCAAGCCTGGTGGTGTGCACCTGTAGTCCCAGCTACTTGGGAGGCTGAGGCAGAAGAATGGCTTGAACCTGGGAGACGGAAGTTGAAGCGAGCTGAGATTGTGCCACTGCAATCCAGCCTGAGTGACACAGCCAGACTCCGTCTCAAAAAAAAAAAAAAAAAAAGATGAACCTCAGAAACACTGTGCTGAAAGAAGCCAGATACCAAAGAGCACAAAGTACAGGATCCAATTCCATGAAATGTCCAGAACAGGGCAATCCATAGAGACAGAAAGTGGATAGGTGGCTGAGAGGTTGTGCGGCAGAGGGAATGGGGAATGGCTGATGGGAACAGGTTTCCTTCAGAAGTGATAAAAAAAAAAATCTTCTGAAACCAGAATAAAAGCAAAGGTTTTATACATTAGGAACGTACAAATGTCACTGAATTGTACACTTTAAAAGCACCAACTTCATGCTATATGAATTTCACCTCAATTTAAAAAGAGAATGAATGGGCCAGGCACAGTAGCGCACACCTGTAATCCCAGCATTTTGGGAGGCCGAGACAGGTGGATCACTAGAGGTCGGGAGCTGGAGACCAGCCTGGCTAACATGGTGAAACCCTGTCTCTACTAAAAATACAAAAATTAGCTGGGCATGGTGGTGGGTGCCTGTAATCCCAGCTACTTTCGAGGCTGAGGAGGAAAATCGCTTGAACTCGGGAGGTGGAGGTTGCAGTGAGCCTGGCGAAGGACGAATGGCACTCCAGTCTGGGTGACAGAGAGACTCCATCTCAAAAATAAAAATATAGCCGGGCGCGGTGGCTCAAGCCTGTAATCCCAGCACTTTGGGAGGCCGAGGCGGGTGGATCACGAGGTCAAGAGATCGAGACCATCCTGGTCGACATGGTGAAACCCCGTCTCTACTAAAAATACAAAACATAGCTGGGCATGGTGGCGCGTGCCTGTAATCCCAGCTACTCAGGAGGCTGAGGCAGGAGAATTGCCTGAACCCAGGAGGCGGAGGTTGCGGTGAGCCGAGATCACGCCATTGCACTCCAGCCTGGGTAACTAGAGGGAAACTCTGTCTCAAAAAAAAAAATAAATAAATAAAATAAAAAAAAATAAAAATATAAATATAAATGGAATGAATCAAGCTTGATGTAATAGGAAAGAAGGGACCCTGAGATAGGAATCGCTGACTCACCAGCTGTGGGGGTGCAGGAGAGGGAGAGTCCGGGATGACTCAGGGTTTCAGCCTGAGCTAGTGGGAAGACGAGGGAGCCAGGAACAGACACCAGCAAAACAATGGAGGAACAGGGCCGGGGCCAGGGCACTGTAACTCTTGCCCCCATCACCAAGGGTGGCTCCACTGGTCCCTGCAGCCACCTCCTCTGAAGCAGGCTCCCAGGGCCCCAAAGTGAGACCCAGGCAATGCTGGGGACACTTCCAGGCCACCGTGAGAAGTGGCAACTTAGCAAATGTCCGCCAGGTGCTAGCAGCTGTGCCCCCTCACAGGCTCCTCCTAACCTGCCAGCTTCCTAACTGTTCATATCTGCTTTCTCCTCACTGCAAAACAGACACACAGGTCTAACATAGACCACCCCCGGGCAGTTTCAGAGCCACAAAGAGGGCAGAGATTCCCTCTAGGGCCTGAGCCAGGGCTCTGGCCTCAAACCGAATGGGCTCCTGGGTGAAACTGCTGCGACCTGAGGGGAGTTCCTACACCTGTGCGAGCCTCAGTAACTTCACCTGTACCTGGGAGGTGCTGTCAATTTACTGGTTACGGCAAGGCGCCGTGGAGTGATTTCTCTTGCTGGCCAATTTCACTTCAATTTGCACCTGACACAATCAACACTGGCAAAATTAACAAAACTAGACAAACACAGCCTCAGGACCATGCCTCGCTCTTGGCCAGTGTTCACCTTCTTTCTTGTCCATGCTGTGTTATGCTAGGGAAGTCACTTCCCCTCCCAGGCTCTCCGTCATCTCCTCGGTAAACTGGGAGCACAGAATAAAGCACGTGGGAGGAGTAAAGGGGACATTTTGGTCGCCCACCACTTGTTCACTGCATAACGACAATTCCAAGAGCGGCATCCCAGTCAAGACCCAGGCGCCGATCTAAGCGCGTTTCAGCCTCAAGCGACGCCTACGAGACTGAGTACGTCATCAGCCCCATTTCGTAGCAAAAGAAAGGGAGGCACTGAGCGATCAGGCAGCTGGCCCGAGGTCGCCCCGCGTCTCAGAGGAGAACGCGGAACTCCGGGACGGTCGCGAATCTGCGCGCCGGAGCATGCGCAGAGGCCGCGCGCCATCGGGGTCTTCAAGGACTCGCGCAGTTCCTGGCGAGATCGAACCCAGACTCCACCCAAGGGTCCCCACTCCCCAACTCCGCTGCCCGTCCTCTCCAGTCCTCTGGCGTCCACAAATCCAGACCTGAGGGCGCCTCAACTCACCCAGCTCCGCGCCCGGAGAAATCCGCCATTTTCCCGCCTTCTTTCTCAAGCGCGCACCCGCCGGCTTTTCAAAGCCCGACACGCCCCCTTGCTTGCGGGCCGGACCATTTGTGGAGCTGCAGGAGGGGAAGCTACGGGGCGTGGGGCAGCCCCGGCTGCGTGCGGAAAGCGCGGCCCCCGACGCTCGCCGCCTGTCCTTCCCTCGCGCTTGGTCTCGCCCACCAGGGGCAGTAGTGGTGGCGCGGTGGGTGGGGCCTGATCTGTCGGAAAGTAGGGGCGGGGGCTTTTCGCGATGCTCCGCCCACTCGGCGCGCTGGCGTCACGCCCCTGGCCCCGCCCCTCCGGAACCCGGAAGCGGGAGCGCGCGGGGGAGCGGCGGGCGCGGCGCGGCGGGGCGGAGCGGCCTGAGCAGTGGCGGGCGGGCAGGCGGTCATCCGCCCGGGGACCCGGCCCGGGACCGGCGGCGCGCGGTGGCCGAGGCCAGGTGAGTTCCAGGCGGCTTCGGGTTGGCGACTCGAGCTCGAAGCGTGCCTTTGGGGGCTGCGGAGAAGAGGGACGGAGATGAGGGCTAATGGGGGACGCGCTGGCAGGGGGTCGAGGGGGCGGGAACGATTCTGAGGGTCTTGGAGAGGTTGCTGGGGATGAGGTGGAAGCGACCTGATGAAGGAGAAAGTGGTTGGGATGGAGCTGGTGAGGGAGTTTGCGGGCGTGGGGGGGTGAGTCTTGTGGCTTTGAGCTGCTTCTCTGAAAAGGACGTGGCTTAAGTGGTAATTGGGGGGTCGCAGGAAACGGCGTTGTGGGGAGGCAAGGAGGCGGGAACCAGAGGCCCAGGTTGGGGGAGTGGGCAAGGCGAGTGGCGGGACAGCTGGGGTGCGGTTGGGGGGAAGGGGTGCGGGACCGATCTGGGGCGTCTGCCCGCGCGATTGAAGGAAGGGTGTCTGAGAAGAGGGCGGCACCTGGCCCCCAGCGGGCGCTCAGTTAATGCGGGGGTTCCGAACTTACTGATGCGGCAGCTATTGGGAAGCGGGGAAACGGGAGCTGGAAGGGAAGTAAACGGAGTAGAAGTCAGGGTAAGAACTGAGGGTAGGTTCAGAGAGGGAGGGCCCGGAGAAGAGGGAAGAGAAGGAAGGGGTCAGAGTGACCCTGTGCAGATGTTAAAGTGCAGCCTCTGGAGATTCCGTCCCCCCACCATCCCCTCTTGATTCGTGTCCTTCCTGACTTCACATCCAACAGCTGGGTGACCCGGGACGAGTCCCAACACCCTATGTGCCAGTCTCTTGGTCTTGGAAACTGCACCACCCTCCCCTTAAGACAGGACTAGCGGGATTCTGGGGGTCCCTGGGTGCAAGGAAGGAACCTCAAGGCCGGCTGTGCGGCCGGAACTGTGTTTCAGGAGGGAGTGTGCACGCACCCTCATGTACAGGACTGTCACCACCTCCGCAGAGCTGCATCCTTGGACTTAAATGGGTAAAACGACATACAGGAAATCTGTCCCCCGGTTGCTCTGAGCTCAGCCCTGGAGAGGCATGCCAGCCACGAGCCCTCCTTTCTTTCCTGGGCACCCTGGAGGCCAGGGGTCTTTAAGGGAAGGCTTCTCTGTGCTTCTTTGAGGTGGGAGCCAGTGGGGACACTGTGTTTTGCTGCTGGAGGGTCCCAGCTCGCTTCGTTTTTTGGTGTTGGAATCTTCAGAATCTTAAGGTGTCCAGGAGCAGCAGGAGGTGGCCTGGGTGACAGGAAAGTTCTTCACGTCTGACAGGCCTGGCGCTTGTGGCCCTGGCAGGGACTTTGCAAGGTGGTTTTGATTGGCATTCATTTCTCCCCTTTCGCGACTATAGGGATCTTTATCTGGGATCTGCCAGAAAGGCTGGGGAACCCCAGGTTATAACTAGTTTATAGCTCATTCAGGAGATTAACCTGGATAGTTTGAATGTAAAGAAGGCCACAGAGAGATAAGCATCCCTCAATTTCCAGAATATTCCGGTCTTTAGGAAAGGTGGCTTTTGGCCTGGCTTGCCCCAGTACATGCAATGACAGCCCACTGTCATGCCTTCTGCAGACACTGAACTGTGGGCTTGCCCTGGCCAAGACACCCGGATGAACAGGACTGGGATCTTCTGATCCCATAACCCGGTGATCACCTCTTCCGTGCTCCTGGAGAATGGCCAAGCTGGGTCTTGTGGAGAGAGCACTATGTTGGAGATCCTGACTTTGGTCAAGTCTCCGTGCCTATTTCTGACCTCTCCCCTGCAAAATGAATGAATTGATCTCCGTCAGCATTTTTCAACCTTGAAACCCAACTCATCTCGTCACCGTCTTGTCTGCAGTCCCTGTCCCCCCAGTCCCGGCCTTGAACTCCGCACGGCACCCCCACACGCCATTCCGTGCTACGATGATGCTACTTTTGTTCCTTTTTCCATTCTACAGTTTATATCCAAAAATGATTTTTTTTTTTTAACCTCGTCTTCATCGTCCAAATAGAAAATTTCGGTGTCCAAGGTGCTTTTGCACGTTGCACCTGTTCCCAAAGCTTTGGAAACTGCAAATTGCTGGAAATCCCAAGGCAGTACTCTCCCTCGGGTCCAGCCTGGTGACTCAGTGGAGCAGGTGGAGACTTGGGAATCTCCCCTTTCTGTTTGCCTGTAGGATTCATTATTCTCTCCCCACAGGGATTCATTAACTTGCTGCTTCCCATTCTTCATCTCTTCCAAGTGGTGTGTCTTGGGTGGGCCGAGATTTAAGTTATGCAAGGGTTGATTGTGCCAGGTGCGTCGTAGATTCCTAGGAACAGAGGTGAATGAATCTTCATGCCCTGGGGGACGGACATGCTAGTGCCCTCCCCCACCAACCTTGCACTTCCCCTTCAGAAAAAGTAGAGTTCAGGCTGGGCACAGTGGCTCATACCTGCATTCCTAGCACTTTGGGAGGCCGAGGCAGGTGGATCACCTGAGGTCAGAAGTTCCAGACCAGCCTGACCAATATGGAGAAACCCTGTCTCTACTAAAAATACAAAAATTAGGCAGGCATGGTGGCATGCGACTGTGGTCCCTCCAGTCTTAACCCAGGAGGCTGAGACAGGAGAATTGCTTGAACCCAGGAGACTGAGGTTGCAGTGAGCCAAGATCGTGCCACCGTACTCCAGCCTGGGTGACAGAGTGAGTCTTCCCTTTAAAATTAAAAAAAAAAAAAGAAAATGGAGTTCAGATCAGGTCATCAGTACAGATGGGGTCACAAGATATTACGGGGGCAGAATTAGGAACCACCAATGCAAGCTTTAGGACAAAGGGGATTCTAGCAACTTTCCTCGGAGGTAATGGCTGGTCCCAGGTAAACCCAGAAAGATACCACATGTTAAACCACGCCGGGCAGGAGGGGTTGCACAAGGAGATGCCTTTGAAGCCCGGCCTGTACAGAATGTCCCAGTTTCCTCATTCTGCCAGTCGGCAGTGCGAGGGTCCTTGTTCTTATCTTCCTGATACAGAAACAGGCCCAGACAGGTGATGACTTCAGAGATGGTATCTTCAGCTTTCTAGAAACGTGCAGGATCCTTAGTAACCTTTGACTGGGGAAGCCCAAATCTCTAGGGCAGTTTGTCAACTGCACCACCTTTGACACTTGGGGCTGTGCACTGTGCACTGTAGTGTGTGAAACCATCCCTGGCTGTCACCCATGAGATGCCAGTAGTATGCCTTCCCCCACAAGTTGTGACAGCTGAAAATGACTCCAGCCACGGCCACGTGTGCCCTGGGGGCAGATTAGCCTCCGCAGGTGAAATTCGATACTCATTAGTGAAACCTGGTTCCCCTCCAGGGCCCACCATTGCCTCGGTGGGTCCTTGGTGTTGGTGGCGCCCCTGAGAAACTGCCACTAAGAGTGGGAACAGGGGCAGAGACTAGGAACTGAATTCTGTCATCCAGTCAGTTCTTCAGGAGGGAGCGGGACTTGATAAAAAGGAGGAGCCGTTAGGAACGGACTCAGGGGGAGTTAGGCAGCGTACCCGAGGGTGGACAGCGGGTGCCCTTGTCTTTCTCTCCTTTGTCTTGTGACTGACCTGGATTTCTGGAGGAACTGTCCTCACCTTAGAACAATCTGTTGCTTTTCTCCTGAGATTAGAGGTATTAGATTCTCTCCCAAGAGCTACTTTGGAGGTTGCCCTGGATAAACGTAGCTTTTGTGTAGCTGTGTTATCTCTTCCGTGGGCCCTTTTGCCCGCCTGTTCCCAAGCACACACTGCTGAATTTTTGTTCTTGGTACATTTTCCCCTTGCTGTCCCCTTCCCTGCTTGGCCCTGTCCTTGACCGTGACTTTGCTGCTTCACCTTGATCGGAGGAGACACTCTGGGGCTATAGGACTGACGGTCCCTTCTGGGTGCTGCCCCCGCACCCCACCCACCGGCCCTTTGTGTGCCCGGCATCCCCAGCCGAGCTGTGCCAGGCTGCCCCTGCTCGGCCGGCCATTCAGACGGCTCCAGGCGGCCTCTCAGCATAGCAAGACAAGCCCTTCTCTTCTGCCCTCGTGGTCCCTGGAGTGGCAGAACAAAGGGCTCTGTCTCTGCACCAGCCCACCGCTGCAGCCCAGAGCCCCGTTCCCTTTCAGTTCCCACTGTGGCCGGGAAAGAGCCTCAGAGATTAGGCATGTTTCAGAAATGCAACTGACGAGTTTGGGTTCTACTCATTTCCTCGGCGAGACTTTCTGAGCCGGAGCCCGATGATAAATAAAGTAGTGATTCAAGGGTTCAGCCTGTGGGTTCGTCGGAGTGATGAATAAGATGTCCTTGTCTGACTCACTTGTTTAAAACCCATCTCTGCCCTGCTGCACAGGGCCGTATGTGCGGGAGCAGGAGCCCCACCAGGGCTGTTTCATGACTGCCGTTGCTGGGTGTGAGTTTGCTAGGGCTGCCGTCACACAACCGCACGCTGGGTGGCTGAATGACAGAAATGTATTGGCTCGCAGTTCTGGAGGCCAGACGTTTAAGATCACATTCAAGATCAAGGTGTTGGCAGGGTCGGTGCCTTCGGAGGGCTGTGAGAATCTGTTCCAAGCCTCTCTCTGTTGGCTCGTCTTCCCCTGTGTCTTCATGTCGTCCTCCCTCTGCGCCTGTCTCTGTGTCCAGATTTTCTCTTAGGAGGACTGCAGTTATATGGAAGGGAGCCCATCCTAATGACTTCAGTTTAACTGAATCATCCCTATAAAGATCATGTCTCTAGGCCAGGCTTGGTGGTTCACGCTTGTGATCTCAACCCTTTGGGAGGCCAAGGCAGGAAGATCACTTGAGACCAGGAGTTTAAGACCAGCCTGGACAACATAGCGTCTTTGCAAAAAACACAAAAATTAGCTGGGCATGTTGATGAATGCCCGTGTTCCCAGCACTTTGAGGAGCTGAGACAGAAGGATAGCTTGAGCCTGGGAGTTTAAGGCCTCAGTGAGCTGTCATCATGACACTGCGTTCCAGCCTGCGTGACAGAACGACACTGCCACCTCTAAGAA